CTACTACGCACAGAATATTGAGATTGAGGGGAAAGTGTATGTGTGTGTGTTTATATATACAGAGATGTGATTGTAGAAACAGTGGTGTGAAACACTGAAGTATTTTCATGAGATGATTTACATTTCAGAAGATCTCTCAATTATGACTCATTAATAACGGTGCATTTGAAGGAAATTAATTGATAGTGGAGATAAGGTAGTGAGAGATATAAGATGACACAATAGACGGCTTAGTCTACGTGTGCTTGTTAAACTAATTTTTGTCCTGTCTAAATCATGGTTTAAGGATAATACACACATTGTGACCTTGAAATAACGATAAAAATGAGCAATAGACATGATCAGCATTGTTACACATTTTAAAACATAGAGATACACAGCCGTAGAACTTCATTAGAACCATGTTATTCATTTAACAGGTTATTGAAGCTACATCTAAAACAGTCATTCTGACTCCTTGAAGTAAGCAGAAGAAACAAGATATGTTCGAATAATCATATGCTTCAATTGAGATCATGAATCGATTAATATCAAACCTGGAAGCACTGGACGGCTGTGTGACTTCTCAGCAGTGAGCATTCACGACCTCACATGCGAGATTCGTATCCAGCACTGTCGGCCTGGAATGTTTTGTGTAAAGGTCGGGTGAAATTAGTGACTGGCTGCTCCAATCAAACAAGGTCATGAACGCTGTTCAAGCGTTCTCAGATAAGAATTATTGCTAAAAAATACATATCTCGGTGATCAATTTTCAATTCGGGTCATATATTCGGTCAATACAACACAATGGAGAAAAATTCAGCCTCAGAAAAACCCTAAAGGTATTCGCTTTTTACATAAAGATTAATCACGACCCAGCACATGAAATCTACTTAGATGAACACACAAACATTTGCAAAAACAATAAAAACCTAAATGAATTAGTGTTTTGTGGAGATCATTTTCATTTGTAATCAATATTTGTGATGGTTTAGTTCAAACTACTAACAACAAGCACAGTAGTGATTTAATTATTAATGAGTCCTAGTCAGAAGATGTGACTAATGCTGTTGAATGACAATAGTGCCAAATTGTAAATTGATTGGTGTTTGATACATGTTACAATAGACCCCAAAGCCAATGATCCTAACGGTTTTACATTTGTCATAAGAACTGCTTGGCTTGGATTACATCCCTAGGTTTAAGGTTGTGAGTATGCACTCCTGAGAAATCTTAGGCTAGTACGAAACAGTTGTCCTTTACTGCACGATCTTCAATCCAAGCACAAATATGAATAATCTGAGACGAAAATCGCTGATAAAGTTAGTAATGCTATGAAATTTAGTAATACTCTATGAATTCAGTCAACCAAACCACACAAAAAAACAAACGAGTCGATATTAACAAGATAGTCTCCACAGTAAGTAACAGAAACTGATGAGTTCTAATACTGAATATATTACAAAGCCTTACTGATAACACTTTTTCTGTTAATAATTTAATAGCTTAATCGGTAACGGAATGACTATTGATAAGGAAAGTACTGGGATTGATTCTAATGTAAATAACAGACTGAAAGACAGGTACGCACAGCCGATGAGTCCCAAATAGAGAGAAACGCTCGCCCTACATCCCACTAGCATGAGTTCTCACTGCCAAAGAGTGTCATTCATGTACGAAACCCCTTTCTGTTGCTTCGCGGTTTTCAATGGTAGTTGAACTACTATCAATTCCTGTTGCGATTAATTCATTGTAAACAAATTTCACAAAATCTAAGGTAATAATAGTAATAATAAACTATAATTATTTGAATAAATAAGACGAAATATACTGTTTTTGGTATACACCAATAAACATCTTAAATTTAACAAAAAATCGAAAGGATTAATTGGACTGGATCTTGTGAAATCTCATCCAAATGACTTTCAAGATGTGGAATCGTTCACATATCTAGGAAGCATCATCGATGAACAAGGAGGCTCAGATGCAGACGTAAAGGATTGGCAAACAAGGGCAGCATTCCTACAATTGAAGAACATATAGAACTCAAAACAACTTTCAACCAATATCAAAGTCACAATCTTCAATACGAACGTCAAGACTGTTCTACTGTAAGGATCTGAAACTTGGAGAACTACAATAACCACCATTTAGAAGGTACAAGTATTTATAAATAGCTGTCTTAGCAGGATACTCAACATCCATTGGCCGGATACTATCAGTAAGAGCCTTCTCTGGGAAAGAACAAATCAGCTTCCAGCTGAAGAAGAAATTAGGAAAAGACGGTGGAAATTGATAGGACATACATTACGAAAACCATCAAAATGCATCACGAGACAAGTGCTAACTTAGAATCCTGAAGAGAAGCGGAAAAGAGAAAGGTCAAAGAACATACTACATCGGTAAATAGAAGCAGATACGAAAAGGATGAATAACATCTGGAAGGAGCTGGAGAGGATTGCTCAGGACAGGGTTGGATGGAGAATGCTGGTGGGAGGCCTATGATCCTTCACAAGGAGTAGCAGGCGTAAATAAGTAAGTTATAAGTAATATCTACTTTTACACAAAGTAAATAAATTCAATAAATAATATTGTCACAATCTGGAAAACTCACAAAAATGATAGAGTTCGTGGAGATTGTTGGAAATCATTTAGATGACGAACTGACCTATGTTAGATTAATATTGAAGCACTAGACGGGTATTTTATCTTAATATGGGACTACACAGCAGCATTCACTTATGATCAGACGAGTAAACTCAAGATCTTAAAGTCTCTCGGCAAGAACTTTACCTACAAACCAGCGACTAACGGTTTATATGTCAAATTTCAATAAGTTGGTGATAACGAATGCCAATAACTGTCATTCATCTCATAAAGTTGAAATCTGCTTGTTCCAGCTTGTCACAAGAAATCCCGGACTGCTTTACGAAGTTATCAATGAGACCTCAAAATCTTTGACCTTATAATCGATCGGAATCACATTGCTGAGGAGCAACAAACTAGGACGGAATAGTTGTCAATATATTTTTTTTCAGAAGGAGTTTTGTGGGGATTTTAGTAATTTCGAAAATTGAAATCATGAGTCCGTTGAGGTTAAGCCACCATGGAAAACATGGAAGCACTGGATAGCCGTTTTGTTCTATTATAGGACTCTTCAGCAGTGCTCATCAACTCACTGAAGGCAACGGTGACGGTGGCGCAATTTCGTGGATTGGTTGACATTACCATCGTTGGACGCAGGGTCAGTGGTCTAATGGTTAGGCACTCGCATGCAAGACTGATAGGTCCTGGGTTCGAATCTTGAGAGGCGGGATCATGAATGCGCACTGCTGAGGAGTCCCATATTAGGACGGAACGGCCGTACAGTGCTTCTAGGTTTTCATGGTGTTCTAGCTTCAATTGACTCATGATTTCAACTACTGGGGAAAATATTTGCGGATTATTTTACAGTATCAAATAGTTCCTTCGTTAGGACTGCTACTTTCATTGATGTAATGCAGAAAGATCGTTAAAATATTCTGACTTCTATGAACATAATAACAATATTCACTACTATAAATTGTGCATCGGTAACAAATTCTCAGCATCAGTTGTGTAACATTACGATAAACTTCTGTAGCCTGATACTGTCGATTCATCTTTAATGATGAAAATTTTCTATCAGTTCAGATGCTGCAACCACATTTTTCATCAGATTTTCAATACATGAATTACAATATACTTGTCTTTGCTAGTTTTTTTTTATGAGAAAAATAATAATAAAGAGAACATTATACGAACAACTGGAGTAGCTTGATGCAACATTTCCAGTATTGAAGTAACGTGATAAATTGTGTAAGCTATTCACACTACACCGCATTAGTACATACAGTTAGGATTTATATTTATATTCAATTCAAAAACAAATTTCAAATATGAGGGTTTATTTTAATACTTGCACAGTTCATCAATCAATCAATCATGTATTCGTGTTCTATTCACGATTTACTTTGATTTCAGTAGTAAATCAGTAGTATCATTGATAGTTCTGTTACAATGAAAATGTTACTCAAAGACAATTACATAAAAAAGTGTATACTTGATAAAGAACTATCAACATTAGTTTCAAGTTACTTTCTCTTATCAATATGTGTGTGTTTAGATCTGTTATTAATGTTTACTGATTCAATCTAATTACTGATCAACTTACAAATCACTAACATTATGGTCCGTATATTTTCTTATACTTTGTCTGTTCTCTGAAGAAAACAAAAAGAGGCGATTATTTTAGGACTTATATATTTGTGGTGCGTTCTGGTGTCAACAGATATAAGTAGTATGCATCATCAATCGAAAATGAAATGCCTGCTGGTAGGAGGTTAAGAAGATCGAAGAGAATGAAAACAGAGAATGATTGGTGTAGAAACGAAGGAACAGTCAAGTCTGAAACGATTAATTGACATTTTGCAAATGAAGTATTTACTGTGTGGTTCTCAGATTTTACTATGAGCTTCTGTAATTTTATACTCAAATAAATTTAGTTATCCTCACTGGTGTTCTCGTCCACTACACATAAAATGATGCATCATATAGACAAAACTTTATCAACTTTTCCAGATAATTACGAAATGGTCGGTGACAAAATAGTCCTTTCTATGCATAATTATCACAATATACACCATTTAGTTTATAGAGCGATCAATATAATGATTATTATTAATTATTACTTCGGTGGCTATACTGCATGAATACTTTTGTATAAAAACATAATGATAAAGTGCTCAGATAAGATCACACTATTAGCATGAACGAAACAAAATATTTAGATTCAGCAGAATTGCAACTAAAGAAATTAAAACAAATACCTTTGCATTGCTGATATTCTATCTTACTATATTAAACTACATATTAAGTTTTTCTCTTCAATCACATAATGTTAACATGAGGACAATCCAAATAATATATGAAACATCATAATAATGCATATATATATATACGATATTGGAAACAACTGTGTTCCTCTGGCTTGCTTTAATTACCTGATGAAAGATGCGTAACTTGATCATTATTATTGGCGGCTTTCAAATACAATGATGTATGTGTAGTATTTAATTCTGATTGGTCGATAGTTGTCGAAGTCTTCAACAGCACATCATTGCTGTTGTTCATATCCGATTGATTACTATTCAAGGATAATTTTGTGTTTTTTTCAATTTCTTGTAAATTTTTGGTGATTTGTGCAACAAATGTGGCAAGTTCATCAGCTATAAAGTAAATAAAAATGAATTAGTGTTATTGTTTCTTTTTCTTTCAACAAATAATTGATATTTTTAATAGTTGAGATCATGAGACAATTAAAGCTAGAACACCATGGAAAACCTGGAAGCACTGGAAAGCCGTTTCGTCCTATTATAGGACTTCTTAGCGGTGCGCATTGGCAACTGCGTCTAGCGAGATTCGAACTCAGGATCTATTGGTCTCGCACGCAAACTCTTAACCCTTAGATCGCTAAGCCGGCATCCACTGATAATTTAAAATAAACATTGAACTGACGAATTTTCTATTCAATCAGTTATCAATCAATGTGAGACTGTCTGTTCAAACCTTCGTCTGGCAAAAACCTACGCTTCCCCAAACTAATATCAATCTGAGACGAATTCGACCTACAAATAAACCTATCTTTCTAAAACTTATTCAGTTGAATTACAGTTAGAATTTGTTATGAAAAAGATAGGTTTATCATGCTTTCCACTCTGTATTTATGGGTCAAGTTGAAAATGCTTAATATTAATTGCTTGTGGCAAAAAGAATTAGAACAAAAGATTTCATTATTTGTAAACTAGTTAGAATACCTTAGCAACATAACTGTCTCACACCCGACACGGTTGAACTGCACTCGTCTTAACTTTTCACTAGATTTTTCACTAATTCTTCTCGAAGTTGATCGTGAAACCTGAAGGTACTTAGGTTCGATTCCCGCTGAGATTGTTAGCACGTACTGCTGAGGAGTCCTATTATAGCATGAAGCATCTGTACAATGAACCGTATGCATTAATAATATCACCCAAATCCATGTTAATTCATGATAAATACCAAGAATAAACAAAATTATCGTTTCTCTTTCAATGTAACAATCATTTTAACTGGAACAATTATGTATTTATGTAATTTAAGTATTATAGCAAATTAATCATTGCAAATTACATGTATCATTATTATGATAGTTATTTTCACTGAGTATTTCTTACTTGTCTATACATATCTAGTTTCAATCACCCTCACTCTCTCTCCCTCTCTTCTAACTCACTTGGCAATTATGATATTTATTTACAAGATATATATTGGTCTGTACATAAATAAATATGGAGGGGGGCTGATATGTGCATGATATACAATGAGAATTGACTAATAATTCTACTTAACAAACAATAAAAAAGGAGCTAATTACATTTTATTTCACAATTGTTTTTGTAGTATAAATAAATAGACAAATAAAACAAGTACGCGTCCAAAGTCCAAATTTATAAATGATTGTGTATTTAAAACAAGACAATGATATTTCGAAAAACAAAAAAATATATTTAGATTATGAACTGATTTAAATTAGATAGACATTGAAAATCTAATATCATTGAGTGCCCGTTTTGTTTTACTAGAAAACTTCTCAGCAGTGAGAATCCACAGTATCCTTGAAACCTGGAATTTTAATTGTACATCACTGATTCAGAATCGAACTAACTTTAAAATCACTGAATGCTGGATCAATTGTTAAGATATTCCTTTCTAGATTACGTGGTCATGGATACGAATTGCTAAGGAGTCCATCACTAGGACGTAATGGACAATGCGATTCTTCATAACCCTATCACTAATTGTGATCGTTTAATTAATGTTTAAAAAACTGAGTTAACTGAAATTTCGTAACATATAACAAAATAAACTTCATCCCAAAATAAATATACGATCTGTAGAGTAAATATACGAACTAGGAAAAAGGCTTATCAATACATTTCTGGTATAATTTAGAGAAAAAAGGCTCTCGGGAAATCCATGAAACACTAACACGCATTACAGGTGGAATAAGCGTTTTAATGAGAGCCGTGAAGAATACAATAGTCTTTCGATACCAAAACCACGGTCAACCTCTTATTTTGATAATAGCAGAGTTGTGTTCAGTTTCTTGTAGTTTCTAACTAATTAGTAATAAACTAAAAATTTAGTATAAACGTCTAGATGTCTCTGATCTGCGATTCATTTACCAAAAGCAACTATATGGAAATAATAAAACATCGATGGCAGAGTTAGAGGATCATTCTTCAGCGACGCACCGACTTCGTGCCGAATGGAGTTGCCTGAGCCTGTATGGGGACACGTTATTTATGGTCAGTGAGTCAAGACAGCCACTGTTGATAGTACCATGTATACAAGTTCAGAGTATTACGGAGCATGTGTACCGAGAATTCGGGCACTCGGGGAAACAGAGGACTGAACATGCGATTTACCAGAGGTTTTGGTGGCCATCCATCCATGAAGACAGCAGAATTCTGCAAAAATTGTAGCATGTGCTATGCCATAAACTATCCTCAACAAATACCCCGTGCCCCGGTAGTTCCAATGACGACATATGGCCCACATCAACGAGCCGGTATCGACATTATGGGTCCACTTACAACGTCGAAGAACAGAAACCGCTATATACTGGTGATGGTAGAGTATTTTAGCAAATGGTGTGAAGCCGTTCCTATACCACAACAAGATGCCCTCAAGGTCGCTTGAGCTTTTTATTGACTATTGGGTCTCCCGTTATGGCGTGAACAGATGAAGCACCCAAGTCTGACACCTGGGAACTTTCTGTGATCTTTTGATCAGTTTAAACAGATGCTTTACTACTGATATGAAGTATATTTGAAGGAGTTAAGATTCATTTGTTTTGAAATTTCTAAAATTAACTCGTAATATAATAACCTCAGATACTTATTTATTGAACAAACTAAATAGACATATTGGATACTAGAAATAATTTTGTTCAACAAAAGAGTTGCATTTATCAAGAACCAATGCTCCATTAATATCGCACTGACTAATAATCCATAAAACAGATAGAAAGACATTAATTACGTCGAGCAAGCATATGTTCATCACAATTCATTTAAATATTAGGACATACACGCCGACGTCTAATCATAATGAACATAAATCTAGGTGGACTTGTGAATTAGTATTTCGTTGATCCAAACAATCTGTTTTTGCAAATTATCTCAGAGTTTCAAACCTACAATACAACTTTTATTGTGGGATTCAATACCACCATTATATGCTTCGCTAAGGGTTGTGGCTGTAAACATTTTTAGCACTGATGAACGGTGTTAAATGGTCACATATTATGTCATATATTAACTGAAAATCGGAAATATGTGTAACTGGAATCCCCTAACAAGTAGTTCAATACTAGTTCTATCATTTCATGATTCAAACACCTGATGGCTTGAATACGTTTTGTATCAGTGAAGAGTTTTTGAAGTACAACAAAACAACAGATCATCACTATTTTCATTTTCACTCTATAAAATAATCCAAAGGGATTTAGGTTCTAATGAATGTGTTTAGGTGATGTTATTTTCAATAAGTTGGATCATTTGATTATCAAACTTCTGTATGACTCTGATCAAGTTGTTCACAACAACAAAGAACGATTTGTAATTAAACCAATCAACTAAGTGAAGGCTTAAAAACTATCAAAACTATTCAGTCTGAGATAATATGACATACAACTATACAGATTTACAAATAAATAATTAACATTTATGAACTAAATCCTAATCAAGCGACAATATGATCTAGACAAAAGAATCAATTGAGTTAAATAAATATATATATATGGTAATTAAAAAGTACATTGAATAGACAAACAATCAACCCGATCGAGTTGTAGGCAAATATAAATATAACGTTAATTCATCTTTGTATTGGTTGTTTTAATCTTCCCATTGATGTTTAGGATTTGAATTGATCAGTCTCTTAGTAGTATATGAGCATCTCCAATATTGCCTTAAACTACAAGCATTATGAGCAAAAATGGATAGTAGTTAACAGTGGAATCCAGAACGTGCGTTATGTCCTATTCAGGACTCATCAGATGGGTATACCTGTGTTCTACGAATTGAACATCACCCCATTGCACAAAAAAGTGGCTATCCGAACTCAGTAGCTAAATGAATGACGCGATGGTGCTCCAAGAAGAAAGTAGTAAGCTCGAGTATCAGAGTGAACATCAACTCTAGAATGAAGATATAACAAGCTGATGAGTCCCAGACAGGATGAAACGCGTGTATTGGATCTTACTCCTAGCCACAATCACCTCTGCTTATAAGTATAACTTCGTATCTAATTACGTCATAGTCTGATCAATTTATTTATTTGTTTACACCCTAATCAAACTTATGCGATTTGAGAAAAATGTTTGTCAGTTATGTTCTTCATGGATTAATTTCTCTTAGAGTACTTACAGAAAACTAGAAAACATTGGTTAACTATTTTATCCTAAGTAAAAAGACTGTTTCTTTTCAGTAATCTTCGTTTGAACTGAAAACTTCGTAATCATTTTCACTGATAATTTTGATTATGAACTTGATACTAAACAGAGTAAATACCACACATAAATAGAGAAAAACACTTGGTCAATGTTTTAACATTAGCTAAAACTCCTCAAAAAGTTCAGAGACATAATTTCTAAACAAGATAAGACCTTGGGACAAAATATCAATTCACAGGGTTCCGGTGGATTATAATTCGTAATAAAACCATACCATTTGTTAATGAATACTGTAAACTGGACAACCAGTGCAAATTAATGACATATATCTGTTTATTAGTCGACAAATGAACTGATAATATTTAGCTCAAGACCTTCAGAACTCATTAGGAGGAATTAGTTTTATTTATTTAAACACATAAATACTGGTATAGGGGGGAGCAAGTATAGATGCATCACACAGATTATTTAATTTGTGTGAGGGCTGGAATACTGATAGGCCATCCAAACCGAAACAGGTAGTATTCTTCAGGAACCACTCCTCAAGCATCTGACCTACAGGTTTAACCCACAAGACAGTGGATCAACGTCAGGAGATACAGTCACACGGTAACCGGTGCCCAACAACAGGTTCATACGCACATTGTTCCCTCAAGATTCTGGAGGTCATGTGCACCATCGATTTGGAATCAGGGTTTTCCAACTACCCTAGATGGACCTCTGCGTCCACCA